GGTGTCTAACCCAAATAAACATGAAGGGGTCACTAAAACATACATAAGGGCAGCCTCTTGACTCAGAAAACCCACAAATATATATTATGTTTTCTTGGATTTTTATTTATTTTGTTAATTATTTCCAGTGCCTCACTTGGCAGTGTTTTGGGCCAAGACTAAAGCGTTTGACACCTCAGTTGTAGACTATAAATTGCAGAGAATGTGCCAAGAATCCGCTTTTGAACATACCTAGCTACTTCTAAGGGAAAAAAAAAGTAGGAATTTGTTAGCTTATTCTAGTGAATTTTTCCCTACTAAATTCTCTGATCTTGAAATATGTCACTTCTGATTTGCATGAATACACTGCCTTGATGCAAAAGCAAGATTTTTATTTTGATCTTTTGCTCTTCTCTGGTTTACCAGTCTCACAGCCTACTTTTTCCTTCTACATAATTAGACTAAACCCTACACATGACTCTGAGATATCCTACAAGAGTGGATTGGGGACTGAAGTGAAGCATGACCCGAGACCTGTCTAAGTCATGGGCCAGATAAAGCAGCCAGTAATCCTGAAAGCAGGGGCCCCAAGCAGGAACACTATTTGTTGCTCATGTGAAAGTTTCTAGAATGATGACTGTGATGATGGGTGTGGGAACCGTTAGAGTTAAGGAGAACAATGGCGCTATTAACATGTTTTATATCCTTACATGGGAAAGACTAGCTAATTCCGCCATCTTCTGCCAATATGATAAGACGACATTAGTAGATCACATATGTGAGTGAGCCTTTGCAAAGTCCACATTCCTAACCCTTGCCCACAGATCTTTTTCCGTTTATTTAGTCAACAACCTAAGAAAAAAAGTCATAAAGCATTTAAAAGAAGCTAGCTTTGGAAAGAGCCTGCCTATATATCCAGTTATCTTTCTTACCTCATTCTGCCATCAATATTCCCACCATGCTTTAAAGAAAAACAACATAGAAGGAGTAATCAGACTGCTGTTATGGCTCTCTGCCTACATTCCATCCTTGTTCTCCTTGTGATATAAATAGCCATGTGAAATTGCAAAGTAAATGTGTGTGTTGAAGCCTAAGTACTTAACTATTGTTGAGAATTAGATATTACACAAAAGTGGTATATAATTCACCACTGAAAGAGACTCTTGAAACTAGATAATGGTTTACTTGAAATTTGTAAACATGTTTGGTAATTCAGGCTGACATCTTATCCATGATTTAGATACATGTATCAAATGTGCCTCCTTTAAATGGAGGAAAAGCCATTTACAGAGATACCTGTGTCCCTCCTGCCTCACTCTGCCCCCAACACCTTTTTTTTTCCTTTGGATGTATTTACAACTTGTTGATATTTTTCTATAAATTTAATTAAGGAGACATTTATTTTGATTGTTTTTTAAAATTTTTTTTCTCTTCTGGTTTGTTTCAGTTACTACCTCTTGATGTGCTTAACTAATCAAACAGTGGTTGGTTGTCAAGTGGAAACAGCATTTGGGCATTGTCAAGTGGTCTGGTTTTGAACATATTTTCTTGAATCCGTTGTTATGGATTTTGGCTACCCATGAACTTAGTTTGTCTTCAGGGTAATATTTAGTTACTTGGCTCTCTTGAGGATTCCTACTAGATCAAAAAAATTAAATAATATATGCTCCATATTTATAGTTTGCATGGGGCCTAGCACAGTCATTGAGTCATAGAATTTTAGAGCTGGATAAGACCTTAGGGATACCTAGTCCCTTAATTTTTCAAATGGGGAAACTGAGGCCAAGATTTGTAGTAACTTTTCCAGGGACACGCAGTTTAAGTGACACATGGTAAGTATTCAGTAAATATATACATATATATGTATATACACATACACGCATATACACATATATGTATATATGTGTGTGTGTGTGTGTGTGTATATATATATATGTGTGTGTGTGTGTATATGGAGAGAGACAGTGAGATTGAATAATTTGAGAAGTAGGATGCCAGAGGCAACTTTCTTAGTGGAAGGGAGAAGGGGTGTGTGTGTGTGTGTGTGTGTGTATGTATCTGTCAAAGTTCTATATGAGATGTGGGGCATCATCAACTCATCTGTGATTTATAATCATCTATAATTGCTTGAGGTACTGGAAGATGAAGTGAATTGACCTATGGACATCCTGGTGAGACTGAACATGAATTCGGCTCTCTCTGATTTCCATTGTGCTAAGCTAGGTCACCTTTCAATATTAGAATTTCTTGATCTGAAGTGTGTGGCATAGCTAGTTATTTAGGATTTAGTTTTTCAACAGGGAATATGACATCTCAAAAAATGGTCTGTTTATGCTTTCTATATGGCATTCATGGTATTGTCTTATTTGCATTTAGAACTATTATTGGGCAATGAGGAGACAGTCAGACGTAAGACCTTATGTTTCCACAAGGATGAACTCTCTTAAATAAAAGAAATATGATTGTTTTAATTTCCTAGAAAGAGAGAGTTAAACAACTGATTTACAATAAAACACCATGCTACTTAAGCATTGCCCTAACCTAGTTCAGAAACTTGGAGTCTGTAAATTTGTTTATTAAACCTTTTGATAACTATTGCAGTGTAGTTGGTTTTCCTTGTAATCTCGTGCATTTTATTTTATTCATTTAAAACATTATTGTGAGAAGGAATCCACAGGCTTTGCCAGATTGTCAAACAGGGAAAACTCTCTCACACATACACTTACATAGAGATTAAGAATTTTGACAGAGTTAGGGGGTTTTGAACTAGGTTGAAGATTTTTGTAATTTTTTTTCTCTTTGTAAAGAAAAATTGTTGACTTTACTTTCTCAGAACTCCTTTCCCCCACTAGGAAAAAGAGGCTGATAACCCATTGATAAGAACAAAGAACTAGATCCTTGTTTCCCAACAGGTGTAGTCTTCACGCACCGCTTGCTTTTGGGGTCCTATATCTGATGAATAGACATAGGGTTTAGAGGAAAGGATTCTGGCTTCCAAGAAGCCTTAGAGCTTTCTACTGACATAGCTGGGCCCTCCTCCTTCTGTAACAATATGGCAGCACCTAAGGTTTTTGCTGTTGTTTGTATTTGCTTTGCCCAGTTGAAAACTCCCCCCCCCTTCTGGAGGCAAAAATATAACAGAAGACAATAACTGGTTGCCTTATATAAACTACCTGTATATTCAGAAATTAAACAAAACTTTCTAGTTCTGACTGCTACATAGAGAATCTGCTGTTTCCTTTCCTGTCGGTAAACAAAAAGCATTCAGTTAAAAGAGTGGGAAATTAGTTATTTACAGGATGTTTGCTGTATCAGAGGAAGGAAAAGTGCCTTTTACAGAAGTGAATCTATTGTGTTGGGGATATTACAGCTTAATTAAGTACAACTTCTAGACATGGGAAATTAACTGAAAAAAAATACACACTAACAGTCATTGTTTTAATCAGAGCTTTAAGAGCTTATTTCCTATATTTAAAGTTTAGAATTTTATAATGTGTCAGCATAGCATAGTAGAGTATGGAAAAACAGAAAGTTGATAATGAAGGCAGAAAATTTGCTCTTCTCATCACCTCCCCTCATACCCCAAAACCACTTCCAAGTAAAAAACCCTAATGAAATATATTAATGCCAAGATGTTATATATCAGTGTATTTTGCTTATGAGACATTATTTTGAGAGTTTTACATATTTGAAAATTTGAGTGAGCTTAATTGTCTTGGGTAGTAATCTAATTAAATAGGGCTAGGCTGAGATGGTAGATTTTCTGCAAGTGAAACCAGTTAGATTGTTGGCCAAGGTGATAAAATAGAAGAGAGATTATTGGATTTAGAAGATTTGAGTTCTATGTCATATTCCCCCCAAGCTTTTTCACCTTAGGCAAGTCATTTCCTTATCTCGGGGATTCAGTTTCCTTATCTGTAAAATAGCACTAGCAATCTCAGATGAAGATCAAATGATACATAATGTTTGTATTATTCTTCTTAACCACCAAACTCTGTGCTAATGAAAGATGCAAACTGTAAATAATGAGAGATTGCCCAGGTCAGAGAATAATTTTGGATACTATACACTCATAGTCTTTCTGGTTTTTTTTTTCTCCTTGTTAAAAACAAACAAACAAACAAAATCTCACTTGGAGCTCATGAATCTAAGCCCTGTTTGCAGAAAGTTATACCACTTAAAGAGAAGGAATAATTATCTTTAGTCATCAGCAGTTACTAAAAGATGCAAGGAACAGTGCAGTTTTAGTTCTTAGAACATTTTATATTTACTTAAAATTAAGCCTAGTTGTGAAAAAAGATCCATTTAAAGCGGTCAGAGAGTGTAGGCTTACCATGTTAATCAGTCTGATTTCCATGAAGGTTGGGGTGGGTAATTGGCCATCAGCCATTTCGTATCTGTTAAACATGATCTATCACTATAAAAGGGGTTAGTTCTTATTGGCTCTACAGGGTAGAATTAGTACCACCAGGTAGGTATTATCGGAACACTAATTCCAACTCAATATGGTAGGGGGGGAGGGAGCTCCCAAACAATTTTATAACATCTAGGACTCTCCAAAAGTGCAGTGTTGCCAATGCCTTGGAAAGTAGTGATTCCTGAATCATGATATGTCTTTTTTTTTTTTGGAAGCTAGATGAAAAATTGAGCTATTTGTTGTACCTGAGCCAGCAGATTTTTTAGGTTGTTGCAGCTAGAATATTATTATCATTAGCATCATTATTATTATCATTATCATTATGTTTCATCAGACCTCTGAGCCTCTAAAATCCCTTGAAAATCAGAAATTATGATTTATGTTTGTGCTTTTGTTCAAATAGAGGAACATCACCTTTAAAGGAGTTATCTACCCCATTGCTTCACTGTCAAATGAGGATAGATAGGTACCAAGTTGATCTCACTCATATGGTTTGCCAATATTTATATATAAAGCCGTTTTATCTTAATATAATTCAGTATTAAAATGAACATAGAATTATGTTACTGTGACACTTATGTACTGTGCCATTCTGTTCTTGCAGGTTTCTCGTTTTCCTTGGAATGATAATCAGGCACTGAAGACAGGCACCTTATTTCCATTCCATACAAGGTAAGATTCTCCAGGGAGGTGATTCATTCATAGACATCTACTCAGTCTAAGCAAATGAGGGGGCGAGTAACAGCTGACTTCTTGAGAAATGGGTTTATGAGAACCATTTATTCTCTTCTGAGCTGTTAATGCTTCCTTTTTTCAAATTTCCTGAACTATTTAGTCATGCCTATTCCCTACACTTGAGTAGATGGACTTTTCTTCCCTCCTTTTTTTGCAGAGTTGGGAGGAAAGTTGTAGAATGTTGCATATTCTGTTAGGCTCAGGTGATGTAATGATGATGAGTAATAATAATGATAATAATAATAATAAGAGGTAGCATTTATGTAGCACTTGCTATGTGCCAGGCACTGCGCTAAGTGCTGTATAATTATCATCTCCTTTGATATTCACAACAACCCTGGGAGTTAGGTGCTGTTATTATCCTTATTTTGCAGATGAAGAAACTGAGGCAGGCAAAAGTTAAATGACTTGCTTAGGGTCACAGAGCTAGTAAATGTCTAAGTCAAATTTTAATTGGGGTCTTCCAGACTCCAGGCCCAGCATTCTATCTTCACCTAGTTGTTCCAGGAATTAAAAAGGGTCATAATCAGGAAACAGTTGTCAGATAGAAGTAGTCTCCTCAAGAAAAAATTTGAAATAAACATGAGATGGACTATGTCATTACATTTTTTTTAAATAAGAGCTTTTGTTTTTACATCACTTTAATTTGCAAATATATTTTTCTTCTCTTCTACACCAGAGAGCCAACCCTCATAACAAGCAATAAACAAACAAGAGGAAAATCAGTTTGTTCAGCAAAAATAACCAACATATAAACTGAGTCTGACATTCATATGGTATTCTACCCCTGAAGCTCCCCACCTATGCATGGAAGGGCCAAGCTTGGCCATTATAATTATTTTGTTCAGTTTTGTTTTGCTCTTTCCATTTGCCTTATTGTAGTCCTGGTGTATATATTTCTGGTTCTGTTATGCATCAGTTCGTGTAAGTTTCCTCATGCTGCTCTGTATTCATACTATTCATCATTTCTTACAACACAGCAATCATGCATGACAGCTTTCTCAGCCATTCCCCAACTAAGGGGGTATCATCTTTTTCCCCCTAGTTCTTTGCTGGCATAAAAAGTATAGCTATGAATTGTTGATATGTATGGGACCTTTCTTTCTTGTGTTTGACCTCCCTGGGGTATACATAACAGTGAGAACCTCTCTCCATACAAAGTTTATGAATATCTTAGTTACCTTTTTAAAAAACCCTCAGCAATTCCAAATTGCTTTTGAAAATGATTGAACCATTTCATTTCTGGTCGGGTTTTACTTTAAGAAAGTTCATACCAAATAGTGACTTTAGGAAGCAAGAAAATTTGGGAATTGATTCAATGAAATTTAGTTTGGGTACAACTTTCCAGGAACCTGTTTTACAAGTGAAATAATATTAATGTATGTTTTCAAGGGATGGAATTATAATTTTTCTAACTCTTGAAATATCAAAATGTTGATATCTGTATATTTGGAGACATTGAGAGGCAGATGTTGGATAGAAAATGATGACCCAGGGTATATGATAGGCTTGTGTTAGACTGTAACATGGTAGGGAAAGGGTGGGGATACTTCACTGTGGTCCCCATGGTAAACTTTATGAAGAGGTGAAACTTGCCAAAGCAGTATTGTATTTCCCTCCGTATCGGGCAATAGACTGGAAACTGGCAAAATACTAGTCTTATGAAAAATTTGGTCTCTGTCTTGGCGCCTGGTATTACCAAGAAATTGACTTACTAAACAGTGAGTTTGTAGTAATAAGTTATTTTCTTATAATGTCTTCTCTCATAAATGTTTGGGGCTTCCTTTTGGAAATCCCCAAATTAATTCCATTGTTGGATGTTCTGAAAAGATTGTGATCACCTAAGCATACTTTTCAAGAAATATATTGAATAAACTAGTGTTTTCTTTGCCCAGTCTGTTTAATGAATATCACATAAAAATAATGTGTGGCTTGGTGATGCAGGTTTTATGAAAAAACTGGATAGTGGAAGGAATATTCTTGTTTTGTTTACTCCAGACAAATTCCTTAGAAGAGGAAAAGAGATTTGTGATGGAGTTCCTTGTAATTCTGTTCAGTATACAACTTCTGGACAAAGAAAGAGTTGGGTGGAATAAGGATGGCAGTGAGACATGGGATCTCTTTAGTGACAGGAGAAAATTATAGGAGACAAATTCATCCTAATCTCCTCCCCTACCTTGTGCCATTATCTTTCCCTATGCTTTCATTGTTTTCATTTGGTTCACATCCATAGAATGCTTACCCAGAGTTTTCTACCTATTCAACCAGCAATTTGTATGACCACTATGTACTGTTTTATGCCATGTAATAATATTTTGTAATGACTAAGTCTTGAATACAAGGGAATGTATAGAAAAATACCAGGTACACTTTTTTTGGATGCTGAGCAAGATAAAAGGTGTAACGGTAGTTTTCCATTTTATAAGGTTCTCTGTAGATGAGCATAGGGTCAGTTGCCAAATCTCACTGTTCTAGGTAAAATAAACTATCCTCTGTACACTGGCTGAATGTTAGAACTTTATATATCACTTTATGGTTAAAAGATTCTACATACAGTATCTTACTAATTCCTTGCGCCAACATTGTGAGATAGGACCAAATATTTTCCCATGTTACTGATGAGAAAATTGGAGGCTCAGACTACACTGGTAATAAATATTAAAGTTGGAAAATTGGAGCCAATCTACTGACTACCCAGTCAGTGTTTTTACCATGTTACCTTTGCAAATCTTTTGTTTAATGAGAGTCCCTGTAATTCTTGGATGAGGTTGAAATTGGAGGTCAAAAGTAAAGAGTATTCCAGTGAAAACAAAGATAATGTGCCTTAAAATGACGGCAACAATGTGAATATTTATTGAGAATGCAGAGGGCAAAAGGTTGGGATCAGGTAAATGGTATACAGCTTCTGGACAAAGAAAAAGTTTGGTGGAATAAGGGTGGCAGTGAAACATGGGATTTCTTTAGTGTCAGGAGGAAATGATAGGAGACAGGAATATTTACTTTGATATAGACCTCTCACTGTGCACAGTCATACTCCAGTGACTCTTGTAATGCTTCCTTGATCAGGTCTGAAACCAATGTAATAAATAATTGTTTTTTTTTTTTTTTGTAGTAGCAATCGGGTGACCAAACTAAGTAGTATTGCATGCTTGCTGAACTGGCATCTGATAATCATCTCTCCATCCATTTCTCTCAGCAATGAGTAAAATACCTGCTTCTAGGAGGAAGCACTTTCTAACTTTTTCTCTGCTCATGAATGCCTTTCTTTGAAAGGATTTTCCTCAGGGGATCAAAAGGAAAGGTCAGTTTTGGTGAAGGCTGAAATGATGGGAAATAGCTAGGATTTGAAATGTGAGATCTTTTAAATATCTAGATATATATGCATAATATTTAGTTTCTTTTATTCAAAAATACTTTTTGTTGCTTGACATAAAAGATCTTGTCAATTGAAAAAATAGTATATGACTAGGAATAACTAATATTTGTATGATGCTTTATGTTTTACCAAGCATTTTTTTCATGTGTAATTTTATTTGATGTTGACAGTAGTTTTGTGAATTATAGTATAGATGTAATTGTCCCCATTTTACAAATGAGAAATCTGATGCTCAAAAAGATTTGCTGCCGTCCCTAAGTTATTAAGCTATTAAGTGTCAGAGTTTGGTCTTGAAATGTAATGTTCTTTCCACTACACTCTGGCTGACCAAATCAGAAGATAAGCCTTCTTATAATTATGCTGATAAGTTACTTATAGTTAAGCTGATAGATCTGCTTCAACTATGTGGAATCATATTTTAGATACTACATTAGTCTGAATATGTGTTGTACTTTCCTCCCAGTTCTGACATCCCAAATCCCAGTGCTGGCTGTCATCATGCTCCTAGTGTCACAGACTCACCTTAGACGTCCCCAGTCTCCCAAGGAAGGAGAAGCTTCCTCTTTGGCTGAACACCTCCTATGCCTGTGTTAGATGTTCTTGCTGTTGGTGCTACAAAGTAAAGGAGGCCATATTCTTCCCCTTTGCATATGTGCATGTAGGGGAGGTGGAGAGGCATGGTGGGCATTCTAAAAACCTAACTTCATGTTCCTTTGTGATAGAGATTTCTCTTCGAAGTCCATCACCATTTCTTAACCTCCCACGTATCAATGAAACTTTAGAGAAGATCACTAGGGGTTGATTGTGGAAAGAGATTTCATCTGTGCAAAAATTTTATACTTTGTTAACTTGGGGCTCTAATTTCCATTTGTAGATCAGTGATTCTAAAACTGCTGTTTGATCAGTAGAGCTTATTGTCTTGGACCCCTAAAAAAAGTAGAAGGAGGAAGGGGGCAGGGTGGTAAAAACTCAATGAGTAATAGGAGTTTCCAAGTTTTGTTACTGAGTAAAGAACTATCCCGTAAATGGAAAGGAGAGGGGGACTATGGGTGAAGAAAAGGACAGTGCATATGATCCATTTGTGTTGGCCTCTCCTCAGTTGTAAAAAGTTTGTATTTGTTCGCCATTCTGAATTTCCCCTGATTAACCTGGGGTCCCTTTAATTTGTGTTATAATGTCTGATTTTTTCAGTTTTTGAGTAGGAAAATTTGCTCTTTGAAAAAAGAATGGGTTTCTCCCAAATAAATCATTGTTTTTGTGTGGTAGTTTCATGTAGTATAATTATTTTTCAGTTAAAACACACATTTTAAAATATTTCTTTTCAGAGATCTCTAATTTTAGAGATGTAGCCTCTACTTGGCATTGGTCTGTCTTAAGACTAATATATATGCAAAGCTCCTGAACCTTTCCATGACAATGATAATTGTAGTCTCTCACCCTATCTTTTAACAAACAGTGGATACTTTGTTATGTTCACTAAATACAAGAAAATTACTTTTTTCATTTGCTTAATGTCTTTGCTATTTCAACCCAAGAGGTATGAGTGTAGCCATGTTTTCTT